CCAAACTTAACACCATCCACTCAATAGCTCTTCCAATATAATAATAATTTTCTCTCATAAGATAATTTAATCAAATCTAAAGAAACTTAGTACTACTCAAAATTCTCTTTTGATTCAACATAGTTATTACTCTACACGCTATCTTCACCAACTAAAAACAAAACACACTACCTCTCCTATTACCTACTACTATCCTCAATACCAATTAACATACATAACTCAATTATGTCATTCATATTTGCACCATCACACCAGCTCCATCTTACCATATACTATAATTTAGCTAAGCTTCAGCACACTCATACGACTCTATTGCGCGAGTACATCAACACTCCTATAAATTCATACACATATTATTGGATCTAATAACTATATCACAAATATCTTATACTCATATACAAAAACCTACTCAACATCAATAATACATATATACACTATAACATACAATATATAATATACTACACTAACCTGACTATACACTGTTCTTACAAGTAGTTAATTATAATAAAATTATAAATATTATATCATTTTGCGTCGGTACACCAAAAAAACATCGAACTCATATCATATAACAACTCATACTAAAATTTTATACACATACCTCCCCTACTAAAAGGCACCTATACCCACCTAGAGACACAAGAACGCTATTACTGCATTACTCTCTCCCATTCCCTCAACCTATCTACCCCCATTAAACCAGCATGCCTAATTACCTATAATGAACACTCCTGAGTAGTACCACTCCCCTTCCAGTGGAGCCTTATTATGTATGCCACGACTCTGTATACAGGTAATATTTGGGCACCAGAAACTTATTACCTGTACACTAAAAATTAGCCCTAATATGATAAAGGAAGCAAGTATAGGGGTCCAAACCACACATAATCCAATGGTGTAATAGTAGCCTAATGGTAAATATATATATATCAGCCCTAAAGGTTTGCAGCAAATGGTTATGTACTATATATCAAACTTATCATACTTAAGCTATACTCATCATAACAATCCAATCATAAAATATTTGACATAATCTAACTCAATACTACCAAAAAAGTGTCTAAAAAAAACCACAACCTCACCCTTTAAAGTCAGACCTAGACACGACTAAATACCTTATTTTATACATTATATCAACAATACTAAACAATTATTACACCATGCTATATTCCTCCTATATAATATATTATCTACAATCCTACTAATACAATACCTCACAAAACTAATACAATAATCCTAATCAAATATTATGAATTCCAATATAAACAAACTATTAATAACATCACTACAACAATTACAATACCTAACTTACTAGTAGCTTACACATCTTCTATACCCATCATCACTCTCAATCCCCCATTATTTCATACCTAGCTTCTATTTCCTACATATTACTTCCTTTTCAACCTCTTTTCATACTTCTCATTCTATACATATTATATTCCACTTTAACTCACCTACTTATTCCATCACATCCATTTACCCTTATTTGATCCAACTATATAATTTTCCTGTAATTAATATATTACTCTCGTTAATTCATTTATGCCATTTTACCTTATTATTCTTATCTAATTATCATTATTCTCTATCCGGTCTAATCTACCTTATATAATGATAATAGTTTTACATTGTTAATGTATATGTTATGAAGATTAGGATTAACTCAATTATTGATATCATTATCACATTTTTATCATAAACTATAATATACCACAAAGAGGATAGAGTAAACAAACTATTTTGAGGAAATGTAGGAAAAGATGAATTATAAAAACATAAAATAATAACAACAATAATAACAACAAAATATTAAGCTAATAAAAAAAACAATTAACATTGAGGCATAAAGTGAGTAAGAAAGTGATAATGTTATCTGTAAACCCGGATGGTCATGTGATAGATTGACTTATGAAGTAATTTGTTTTGATTGTAATTAGGTATATATTAGATGAATTCTGAGATTGACCTGTCACATATTATTACTACTAATTATCATTATCTTGATTTTGTATATGATTAGTTGACTGAATGATGATTTGATATGTAAATTGATTAAATGATATGTAATGATGATCAATGTCATGATCATGACATAGATGATGGTGAAGTAGAATGCAATCGCAGAGTGTATCAGATGACAATACGTCGAATATGATGTATCCTTAATGGATGGATGGGTTTTGCCTCACTTTCACTTTATCGATGGTGATGAATTGATGTACTTCGATCGATGTATTTGATGATATATGTGATATTGATGAGAGATCCGATGATGAGGTATTATCCCCTTACCGAGAGCCCAGTGCAACAACGTCATGTCCTTGTGGGTTTTGCCTCACTTTCACTTTTTTATCCTTTTGATGTGTATGGCCCCTTTGTATTAGTGGTATATTTTATCTTGCTATCACTGTTATCACAATTATGATAGTGAGTGTTAGGTAGTTGTGCAGGTTGCAAATTATTCTCATGATAGTAATTGTAAGCTAATGTTATAATTATTATTGCCATTATGATTATCATTATCATCATCATCATTAATTAATTTATTTCCTAATAATCTTGATGTGAAGTATACTGTCATGAATATTTTTCAGCTCATTGTATTTATAAGCTTCATTGGGATTGGCTCTATGGTATTCTTAATTCATTATTATTATGAGTAATCATCATTAGCATCAGTGTTAGCATTATCATTATCTTTGTAATGATGATCAGTCATCATCATTCTTGCCCTCATTATCAATATTATGATAGTTATTATTTTCTATCTTTTTCACTATTACTGTTTCTATCATCCCTGTTATTATAGAATTTATTATTGTTGTCATTATTGATTGATTGATTAATAATAATTGTTATTATTATTATAATTATCATCATAGTTATCATTGTCATTGTTATTGTTATTGTTGTTGTTGCTATTATTATTATGATGATTATTATTATGATGATGATGATTATTATTATTATCATTAGTTATTGTTGTTGTTGTTGTTATTGTATTTGTTGTTGTTGTTGTTGTTGTTGTTGTTGTTGTTGTTGTTGTTGTTCTTCTTCTTCTTCTTCTTCTTCTTCTTCTTCTTCTTCTTCTTCTTCTTCTTCTTCTTCTTCTTCTTCTTCTTCTTCTTCTTCTTCTTATCATCGTCATCGTCATCGTCATCATCATCATCATCATCATCATCATCATCATCATCATCATCATCATCATCATCATCATCATCATCATCATCATCATCATCATCATCATCGTCCATCATCATCATCATCATCATCATCATCATCATCATCATCATCATCATCATGATCATGATCATGATCATGATCATCATTATCATTATCATTATCATCATCATCATCATCATCATCATCATCATCATCATCATCATCATCATCATCATCATCATCATCATCATCATCATCATCATTGTTATTATTGTTTTTCTTATTGCTATTGTTGTTATTATTGTTGTTATTATTATTGTTATCATCATCATCATCAATATTAGTTTTATTTTTTTATTATGTTATTGATAATGATGATAATGAAAATGATTATCATTATAATGATAATTATGATTATAATGATAATAACGATAATGATAATGATGATAATAGTAATGATAATAATAAGGATAATATTAATGATAATAATGATAATAGTATTATTATTAGTGATAAGTGATAGTGATAGTAATGATGATGATGATGATGATGATGATGATGATCACTATTGTTGTTATTGTTATTATATTTTTTTTATCATTATTATTAATATTATTATTGTTATTATTATAGGTATGATAATAGGTTTTATTATTGTTAATGATGTTAAATGGTAGTCTTTTCTTCCACTTGAGAGTTGTTGTTTTTTTACACTTTTTTTGTGTTCAAATGTTGATGAGTAGCATTTATACATTGCTGGCAACCTTTGGGCTGAGTTACCATGTAGGCTACACCATGGAGTTTGTGTGACCCCACTGCACCTATCAAGGGCCATTAGGGGAAGTTGGCTGGGCGTGGCTCCTGGAGGGGAGGGCAGAGAGTTATGGACCGTGTTGGGGGGGAATGGGAAATCAGAAGGCCTCTTGTCAGGGTGCCGTGTGGTGGTGTGGTTTTGTTTTTGTGCCGACGCAAGATATAAATTTATTTTTATATACACTTGTAAAAAGTGTAGCAGTTATTAGTATTATTATTATTGTTTGTTTATTTATTTATTTTGATTTAATTTTTTTTGATGTAGTGTTGTGATAGTTTTATCAAAAGTGATTTAGATGTTGCAGTCTTTTATTCAATTAGCTGAATTAAGTAATGAGCAAGATATGTAAAGATGACATTGATTTCTGTGTAATTTATTGGGGTGTTTTGTAGTTTATTTGATCTGAGAATATTGACGCAAGTTTGATACAGTCTTAGATTTGATACATTCTTTAGAGAATTATTTGAAAACCAATTGAGTGGAGGTGTTGGTTATGAATTATTGGAATATGGAGAGTTTTTAGTGTTCATTTAACTGTCCATGAATTAAGACGTACTAGTATTTGCTATATTTCCAATTTTTTGTAGGTTTTATTAGACCAAGAATGATATAGTAGTTTATACTAAGTAAGGTGATAGGACACTTGAGTATATTGGTATTGAATTACTGTGCCAAATACGAAAGCAATGCCTGCTGAGGACTTAGAGGCTGTCATGAATGTGAGGGTATTAGAGAGGAAAGTTGTTACCCTTGAGACTCAGATTCAAGATTTAAAATTTCGAATAATTTCCAATGAACGGAAAGCTGCAGAAGAGAAGAGACGAAAGCTTGGTAATGTTGTGCTTTTTATATAGTATCATTGAACTTGATTTAGGATTATTAAACTTATAAAGTATGATTGTGGAAAAATGGTTTGTACATTACTTCTAAAAATTTATTTTATGTAAATTTATTTGATGTAAAAGAAGTGCTGAATAATATCGGAGTACTAGTTTGGAAATACTGTTAGACAAAGACCTGATTAGATGTAAAATGAATGGGAATTAATGTTGCTTTTTTTTGCACAGATTCAAAATTTAAACAGAAATTTAAGCAGCAGAGACTTCCAGCATGGCAGCCGATCCTCACAGCTGATACAGTCCTTCCGGCATTTTTCCTCATTGGTCTTTTGTTTATCCCTCTGGGGGTGGCTCTCCTCTACTTCTCAGAGAACGTGAGTAAAGCCTTAATTATGGGGATTGTGAGAAGATGAGGTTGATGCAAAGGTTATTAATGATATTGAAGAGAAATATATCATATATATGTTGGTGGTAATATGGTCTCATCTGGGTATAGTTTTTTCTAAACATAACTAGGAAGACTCATAAACCCTTATTCCTTCAAAAGGTACAAGAGTTCCAGTTGGAGTACACAGATTGTGAGAGCATCACCCATCAGTTAGCTGATGGAACAAAGAGGCCGTGTAAAGAGGTTATAAAAGAAACTACCGATGTCTGCACATGCCGCATTAGCTTCAACATCTCAGAAACTTTTGAAAAAAATGTAAGAAATGTTCATTTGATGGTGTTTATTTCCAGTAGTTTTCAAGTAATAGTGTGTGATAATTTATGCATGTATTAGATAGCAATTCTTGCAGCTTATAGGTTAGAGATGACTTAAAGTATGATTTACGATATTCCAGGTTTACCTCTACTATGGCTTGGATAACTTCTACCAGAATCATCGTCGCTATGTTAAGTCTAGGGATGATGATCAGTTGTTGGGAAGAGTAAACCCTACAGTTAACAGTGATTGCAAGCCTTTTGCAACTGATTCTGAGGATAAAATCTTTGCACCCTGTGGAGCAATTGCTAACTCAATGTTTAATGGTATGGAAAGATTTTTTATTTTTCGTATTGTGATATATATTATTATACAGATTGACAGATACATCACAAGTATTGATTTTGATGTAGAAAACGTATGAATGAGAATTGATATCTTTACAATACAAAAGATACGTTTGAAACCCGTCAAATACATCTCTTGTATTGTGGAGATATTAATTTTCATGTATATTCTTATATTCTTAACTTGCAAATTTTGTTCACAGACACGTTGAGGTTGTTCCGGAAAAAGGACAGTGAAAACATAAAGTTGATCAAGAAAGGCATTGCTTGGCCCTCAGATCGGAAGTTGAAATTTAGAAATCCCGAAGGAGCCTTGAATGAGACTGGTGGTAAGAGGCGTGTTGTTTCTGTTCTTTCCTGATTATATGAAGAGTTAATAAGTGATAGTGAGCAACAATGACTGTGATTGATCAAAAATGGATGTGAACATGAGTAAGAGTGAGACTAACATTAGAGCTTGATTGAACAAAGGAGTGAAAGAGGCTGAGCAGTAGTGTTATGTGGTAGATGTGAGAGAGCATGAACGAGCAAGATTTGAGTATGAGTGGATGAGAGTGAATGGGAGTGAGAAGTACCAAGTGGGGTAGAGAAAGGTGTAGAGGCAAATTCTTTCTCCATACATTCTCTAAATATCATATTTTGTTCATCAGCAATAGGAGGTCATTATTCCTATAAATTAATAAGAACATCGTTATTCTTAATTTCTGTTAGTTTTACTAGTATTTGTAAGGTATGGCAGTGCAAGTACAAAGGGCAGACACTAAAAGACTGATTGCATTTCTTTACAGCATTCAAAGACACTGTAAAGCCTCTCTACTGGACTCGTAGTGTATGGGAGCTTGATCCAGATGACCCTGATAATAATGGCTATGAGGACCTGATTGTCTGGATGCGCAGTGCAGCTTTTCCCACCTTCCGTAAACTCTACCGTAAAATTGACCACAGCCAGGAGGGTTTCATCAATGGACTTCCTGCAGTATGTATAAATTTTAGATTCTGATCAGTTAACCACAATGATGTTTAGGTATTTTCATCCACCTCTTTGCTATGCCTTCAGCGTCACTTCTTCCTATTCCACTTTTGCCTCTTCATTTTCTGTTCTTCCTACACACAGGAAGGCTTAATATTAAAATCAAAATATTTGCAAAAATTACAGTTGATTGTCATGATGCACTTCTATCCTTAGTTGAAAATACAAGGAGAGTAGGAATTAAATTTTCCTTAAATATAAAGAATTTAGTTCAGAATTTTCATCATTTAGAATTATCACTTGTAATTATTTTGTTAGCATTTATATCTCTGGCATCAACCTTAGATCAAACTTTATCTCATTTTTTTTCATAGGATCGTTACTATTTGGAAGTTGACTACAATTACCCAGTGGATTCATTTGGTGGCAAGAAGCGAATGATTCTCTCCACAACCAGCTTCTTAGGTGGCAAAAATAACTTCCTCGGTATTGCATACATCACAGTGGGAGCTATCTGTCTCCTGCTTGGAATCATTTTCCTTATTATCCACATCAAATTTGGGAAGAGGTAAGTTGCAGTCTTGGTGATGGAGATTTACTGTGAAAAGCACGTAGAATACAAATTAAAGGGACTGTCATGTAAAAAAGTTGGTTTAATAGTCAATTTTTTTTGGTAAATTGGATGGGCAACTGGCTAATAATTGTGGTGAAATATGAGTGTGCTCAACCAGTTATGAAATAGGTGTAAAAGAAGTCTTTTTTGGTCTGTAATTTTCCTAAACAGAAAAAAAATTGTGACTTGCAGAATGACTTCCCACATCATATTCCTAAAAGAAACTCTTTGTTGCTATATATAGGATCAAGAAAGAATGAAGGATGTAAAAGAGAGAGTGTTGTTTTTTAATAACTTTTGTGTGAACTCATTTAAGAGCAAGGAAGGTTTTGATTAGATTTTTTTTTTTCTTATAGCAATTCACCATGGTTGATTTCATCATACCAGAATTGTTTTCTTGATTATGTATGCTCATGACAATCCCCTTAAAGGATACATTGGGTGCAAGTATTGGATTTTAGAGGTGATAGCTTGTAGTTGATAATGCTTGTGGAAAGCACAGCTGGTTATTTACATTGCTAGGACCATGTCCCAAGTACGTAATACCTAATTCTAGTAAGAGTGCTATAGTAATGTAACCATAGTTGATGATTATTGTTCAATCTAATTCTTTCTTTCTTTTTATCTTGAATTCTTACACCTCCTTCTGTAGGCAAATGTATGATATCTACAGAATACATTTATTCTATAGGGAGGAAAAATTTGATTGTTTTCCACCCCGTAATTCACCATGCACCTATGTGAATAGCCATTCTTATATGTATATTGACATTTAAAGAAATAAGAGGGCTTATGATCTTGCTTATATATGTGATTACCTGTGCCCACTGCAGTTATAAATTAATGGGTACAGGTAGATGAAGCTTACAAATGCTGCACATAGCTAAATACTGGAAGAATGAAGGTCCTTGTAAACCTGACACAACACAATACAAAATGACACACATCACAGGTGCAAATTGTGATGCAACATGCTGCAGCCCAGATCAACAGAAAATAGCATTTTATAGTGAATGTAGAAATGGACAGTTTACCCGTAAATGGTGGGTGATATGATATTACATCTTTGTGGGGAAGGGTTGTAGGGGTAATGTTATTCCCAAGGCTTGGGTGGATGATAGATGTATACAATAGCAAGGGTCACTTTGCTACTGTATGTTTGCTGTGTAGGATCATACTCAATAAAACACATAATAACACAGCCAGTACAATACATTGCATTGAATGACAACACCGAACAGCTCAGCTTAACTTGACACTATGTTAAAATTTCTCTACATCTTGAATTTGTTTTCACAGTACTATTTGCTCAACAGTGTTGGTTTTATAATGTTTACTATTGTTATTTGTGAATGAAATAAAGGCAATGTAATACCCGTTTTGGGTTTTTGATTCATGATACAAAGTATATGACACCTGTAGATTATATTGTATTTAAACAATTGAGTAAGATTATAAGAGAATACTTTTACTGGTATTGCTTTCATTTCGTTTGATCTTACTAATGTGATTTGAACTAATGTGTCTGATTATATAAAGTGACATTTTTCCATGAGGATGTGATATTGTGTTTTGTCCTGTTTCTATATCACAATGCCACAAAATGGATTAGTTTACAACAGTGGACACATATAATTACTGATGCAGACAACACACATGCAGATATAAACAGAATACAGAGCCATTACAATACATTACATTCACACACTCAGACTTATGCACAAACAGTATACGAATGACACATAAGCAATGATTCATAGGCCCATAGACAATACACAGACACAGGCATGTAAAACATGCACATAGCATACACACTGCATGCACATTGCAAGTGCATCACAGACGCACTGGACAGACACCAAACAGGCACTGCTGCATAGGCACTGTACAAGTACTGCACAAGCATTGCACAGGCATCGCAGAGGTGCTGCAAGGCAACGCATAAGCACTGCACAGGCATCCCAGGCACTGCAGCATCGCACATGCACCGCACAGGCACCATGTGCACACACGTACATGCACGTGTGCACACAGAGATGCACTTATACCACATACACAGCACACACCTATTCATTCACTCGTACACTCATTCACTCTTAAAACTTAAAAAAATTAAAAAGGTTTTCAAGGAGAAGCATGCTTGTTACCCAAGTTTGCTTTGAAATGGAAGCTTTCATTTGAAGCACACCATAAAGTGTGGTGAGAAAAAAACTTTAATTCAAAATGTGATTTTTGCTTTTATATGATGGAGTGATTCAAGGAAGATTTCTAGGTATTTTAGGGAAGAGGGTGCTTGTAAGAAAGTGGACTCTGAGGAAGTTACCCAAAGCTTGGACGAGTTAGCTTAGGCTGTTGTAGGTAAGCTTAAATTTCTGTGGACTTAACCTAATTAGCTAGCTGTTGCATTTTTAAGTAGAGTTCCAGAGGTTGTTTGTTTAGACTTCTTCATGTTCTCAATTGCATAATAATAAGAGGAAAACAGATGTAGAAGTTATTTGACTTAACAAATCATCGGTGTTAATTATGCAAGTTAATTTTTCTCTCTCTCATTTTATCTTGTTTCAACCCTGGGCTTCATTTTGAAGCTTAAGAGTAAGAGAGATCAACAAGACAGTCGCGATTCCTTTTGGTAAAATTCTAAGGGTGATTCCGTATCATGCGAACCATCACCGTAGTCATTAATTTTCTCCCTACTTTCCTCCTTTTTGAGAATGACAACCTTCTGATATCCTGTGATGTTTTATATGGTTCAAACTCTAGTGCGATGTATGGTAGTTGCTTCTTCTTGTGTGTGATGCTGCATAGTAATTACACTTATTTTCTGTATTGGGACAAAGATGCACCTGGTTGGTGATTACTGAAGACAGGTAGATAGATTATTAATACCAATATTATGATTATGATTTATTTATGTTATTTAATTTGTTTTTAACATATTAGCAATGATAGTTATTTGACATACAACAGTGCTATTCTGACATATTGTATTCAGCCAGTCATCACCAAACGGTCAAGTGCATCTTTGCCTCAGTAGGAAAAAAAATTGTATAGTAAGGAATATATTTTAATGTTGTATATTGTAGCTTTTGAAATAGTTTTTTCAACTAATCTGTATTTTTTATCATTTTTCAGGGCTGGTGATCAACTGAGTATAAACCAGAACACGCCATACAGTGACTAGAAGAACTTTGTTTCATATTAAGTCATATCTTATTGTAAAGTTTCCAAGAAAGGGGAAGAGGTTCAGTGTGGGTAATAAGAATGGGAAACACTGCCTCTTTCATTTTTAATTTATTTGAATATCATTTGTGATATCTGGATAAAGTGAGCTTGTTTTAGATTCTCAAATGCAGGACCAAAGAGCTATGTGAGTACCAGTGATAGATAAGCCTTTTTTCTTATTATGGATTTTCTAATAAGAAATAACTTCTGTATAGAACATTCCCTTTTAATCTGGTTGCTGAATAAGATGATTTTTTTCAGTATCTAATTTTATAAATTGCAGTTTTGTTATTTTATATATATCCTAAAATTGCAAGCCATAGGATATAGGGAAAAAGTGAATCTGTTATCTGTATATCACAATTTAGAGGTTCATTAGGTGGGTCTTGCAGGTACTTGATACATTTAAATGCTTGATGAAAAGTAAGAATATTTCTTATATAGCTTTCAAGTGAGCATTACGCCCATAGATTATAAAATTGCCCCAGTATTGCCCTGCTTATAATAAGAAATGGTTTATTATGAAAATAGTTAGCAGAAGTAAAGATAAATTAGCCACCGTTGTTGTATATTTTATAATGATTTATGAAAGGGCTCATTGAGAGTTTTCTCTCTTTTTTTCCCCTTTTTTTTGTATTTTATCTCAGGGTTGAATTAGAGCATTACAAAGAACTAAACTTTTATTGGTTAATACAGATTATGATAGTGTCACCTCAAAATTATGTTGCCATTTGTCCAAGGATAGGTTGTACTTAATGATTAAGAAAATGATATTTCAATAGATACAATGAAACTTGGGTATTGGGGCTATGGGTGCGTTTGAGGCCACCTTGATTATTGGTTTTAGTTCCAATCACCCAGTAAACAGTAGCCTTTGGGTAATATTGTTGTATTTTCATAGGTTATTCCTTATTTATTTCATTATTTGTAAAAAGCAATTACATGTGAGTTTTGCTTATGTGGTAATGAAGTTAAATATTATATTCTAAGATGGTAATTGCTTTATTACTGATAAGGCACTTGGGATTATTTTGCATTTTTTTAATAAGATCTTGAAAAAGGATCAGTATTATTTCTTTATGGATATATTTTGACTTTGATATTTATTCATTTTGGGTGAAGTGGCCTTAGATATTAATTTTATGACAAAGTCAAAAATAAAGTAAAAGAATGAGAAGATGTAAAGAACAAACTGAAACTTCATATAAATGTGAAGACAAATGACGCATATTCACTGGTGCTTTACTAATACTTTCCATATAGCACCTGATATTTTTTTAAAGCATTCAGACACATAAAGAAAAAAGATTTATTGGTTTAGCTTACAGTGTAATATTTGTATATATGTATGGACATACATACATACGTGCATACATATTTACATGCTTTTATGTAATCATAAACTATTTTTGGTATTCTGCAATTTCATTGCACAATGATTTGATTCAATCTTTAAAAAGTCAAAACAGATTAATAAAACATGAGTATTATGGTAAATGTTCATTTTCACTATAGTTTACAATTGTAAATGTATATAAGAATATATAACCAGTTCACAGTGCCAGTATAGATATTCTATTATTTCTATTTGAGATGTGTAGCACATGCAATCTGTGTATGGTGTTGAGCTGTGTCAAGAAGTATGCTTGTTATTGGTGGACATTACTGTGTCAATGATCAGAATCTGTAGGATCTTGCTCTTGTACTTCTTGCAACACTACTTCAACATTACATGTTTTTATTTTTGAGATTATCATTATTATTATCATAATTCTATATAAATAGTTTTTAATGATTTTTACCTGACTGAAAACATTTGCATATGGTTTATATCATACAAAGAGAAGACTTTTGTGTTTGTGATATGTTTAGCAAAAAATGCAATAGTTTATTTCATCAATGCTATTTTATGTAGAACATATATTCTTGTTGAAGCAACGTGGTAGTAGTTAGTGTTGTAAAGTGTTGCATTCCATATATTAGATGTTATAAAAGATTTATGGTCACTTGACTAAAGGATTTAATGTATTCATAAGATAGGATATAAATTTTTAAAGGTAATACATAAAATTTCTGATTTCTGTTTCAAAAAATAAAAATTAATTCTGACTATCTGTTGTCATGGAGGTTAGAATTTTTCTTTTTTTCTTTTTTACCTTTCCTCAGTTTGATTATTTTCTATTTATTTGAATTTATTTGTTCCCTTAATGTACTTGTGTTTCTGATTTATCAATTTGAGGAGTGTAATTGTTTCATCTAGTCCAATAAAGTCCGTTGTATGGAAACTATTTGTTTGAGGTGTCGATTCCTTCAAGTTTTTCTTGTATTGAAAAGATTTTCTTGTTCATGACAGATCATTAAAATGCCTTTGTTTTCTTGGAAGGACTCAAGTGAAGTATAGAATGTAAGAATGATAATTTTTTTTTTTTTTATAAACTTCATGCTTCTACAGTAGAGACTTCCTGAAAGAAAATTCCTTTTTTTAAAATTTAATTGTCAGAACCATATATCATAATGCAACTTTAAATGCATTTCTGAAAACTTACTGGTAATTAAAATGATTTAATTATTAAACATGCTATAAAGTAATAATAAGAATTGTCATTATATATATGACAATGTAGATAATTATTAAACATGCACATACAAGCACACATTAATGGACATCACACACACACACACACACACACACACACACACACACACACACACACACACACACACACACACACACACACACACACACACACACACACACACACACACACACACACACACACACACAAATAATATATATACACATACATCATCTATTGTATATATATGTACACCATTTGATATATCTCTGTATGTGTGTGCTATTCCAGCCCACTAATTTGAAATGATTTAGAAAGAATGTGCACATCACATAACCCAATGCTGTCGAGGGTGGCATGTACACACATGCCATGCCCATTGTGAGTTTAGTGTTTTGCCATCAGGGACTTGATTACTAGTACTAACAATCTCCTGTTTACCCTTTTCCTTGTTTTTCAGAAACATTTTCTCATCATATCTCATATTGCTATTATCAGTAATGTTTAATAACATAATGATATTGATAATGTCTATACTACATTGATACTGATAGCATTAGTATTTGTAGAATGGTATGAATAAGAATGAATATCTTCACAAAAGAGATGTATTTGACCGGTTTCAAATATATCTTCGTAAGAAATACATGATATTCATTCTTATTCATACCTTTCTACACTTGTCAACATGAATATGGTTTAGCATTAGTATAAACAATTTTTCCAAAAACTCAAAAGAAAGGGGAAATCAGGTGCAGGCACAAGGTAATCCCATGTTTCCTTAGTGATAGAGCATCTGCGTGCTTTGTATGCCTTGAATGTTTGTGTTTTTGAAAGATTTTTCACAAAAGGTGGAGATACTTGTTTCTTTGTGGCGGAGACCAGTCAGTGGTGGGGATGTCTGTGGTTGTGGCAAACACTAAATTATCGTTCTTTAGGCACTGATCGATCATTGTGTGCACTGTGAAATTTATCATCCTTCTGATGTCTTTATTGATGTTTCTAGTTTCTTGGAGTCTGATATAAATAGAATTGATGTAGGCATTTTCTATCTCTTCTGGGCTATACAGTTTCTTAATTTGGTTACACAACACTAAAACGTGCCCATGATTTTTTTGGTCGTTTATAAAGCAAAGAATCGTGTTGAGCACTATAGTAGTGTTGCCTACCTGATAGATGGTTTATTGTCGTCACTGTTTGTTTCTATGTTGTGTTCAGTTTTCTCTGATTTCACTTGTTTTTCACTGTTTTTTGGACTGTTTTCATTGTCCGGGTTGTTTAAACGCCCTTTTCCCTGGGCAGGGGGGCAGCCTTGACCCTGGCTGCCATGGGGGTGCCCATTCTCGTGGGCGGGGGGGCAGCTCTGACCCATGCTGCCGGGGGGCCCATATCCTTGGGCTAAAGTCCTGGTACCCTGGGAGGGGGGCGCATTACCCTGGCTAGGGGTCCCCTTCGCTCTGGGGACTAGAGCCCGGCTAGCTGCCCGAGGAAGCACCGGGAGGCCCCCGCTGGCCCCCTGTGACCCAGGGGGTAGGGGTCAGATCACCCTCTGACTTGGCGGGACCATGAGTATGCATGGTTTGCTGAGTGGCAAGGCTGCGGCGGAGAGGAGGCAAAACTCGTCCGATCACCACGGCGGCTAGACGGCTCCAGAAGAGAGAGGCTTCTATCTCAGCGCCCCAATGAACGACACCAGTCAGCTAACCCTCCTCCCAGGCAAGACTCTCTCCTTTCCTCCTTCCTCTGGTCAGCTGCCTCCTTTTGGTGCCTCGACTACCACATAGACGAGGCCCCGACACCATCAGCATCGCCAAGAAAGATGATGGCCAAGAGGAAACGACCGAGGAGCGTTGGCACCCGCTGCACTTGGGTGGGGGAGGAGCTCGCATGCGAGGACCTACCCAGAGAGGACCCATCCCATCACCAACACAGATCCTCCTTCCTCTCCTCGTGCTAACTCCAGCCAACGGCAAGGTTGTTCAACTGCGGCGAATCTAACCATCATCAAGTAAGGAGTAGGTTCGGTCACAAGTTAAAATGTGAATTCTGTCTTCAACTGGGCCACAAAAAAACAATTTTATACTTGCAATAGGTTTTAGAAATGTGGCGAAGAATATAGTGCTGTCAGACATACACGAAAATAGACCATATTAATGAAGTCTTCTCGCTAATGTCAGTGAAATCGAACTTTTAGTAAAGGAAATGGATACTAATATCTTATGCGTAAGTGAAACGGCTCTATCATAAAATCTTAGATGACCATGTAACTCTACCTCATTATAATGTAACAGATGTGATAAAGGTAGAGGTGGGAGTGTACATTTACATTAGGGACACTCTTAAGTGTAATGCCTCTCAGAATAGATGCAGAAAGGACAGAAGGGGTGAAGGATGTCTGGGTGAAGGTGCAGTCCCGCAAACTTCCCTGCACAATTGTAGGCTGCATGTTAATTAATTAACAATCACAAACTGCATCAGTTAATTTATATGTCAACTAGGCTAACAAGTCAATCTGCTACACTCTTGCATATAATTGTTACCAACCAACCCCTAATCAAACACTCTAATCAAATTTGACAGCCACATAGCATATCATGACCTAATGACTGCCATTATAAATCTGCGCAAACCTAAACACAAACTAGAAATGAAAAGTTTTCAACAACTAAAAAAATATTCTCCAGATTATCAATGCAACTTATTAACATATTTCACACTGATATTATAGACACACAGGTTCATATATTTACCAACGTCTTTAAATGTTTAGATGTATGTGCACCTCTGGTCACGAAAGAGGTGAAGAGACCTTTTGACCCTTGGATAACTGATGACATCCACGCATTAATGAATGAAAGAAGCATTGCTCAGAATGATCCCAAGAAAAATAGGCTTAATGAAAACGACAAGGAAGACCCTTAGATATCTTTTCCCCGACAACAGGAAGAAATTTAGTGAAACCCTGATTTAGGATGATAATATATCTATGAAAAACATGGCAGATGATTTCAACAGATTCTTTGCAAATGTAGGCAAAAGTACTTTTGAGAAATGTCATCCTGAATGTAACACTTTGTTTAAAATCCAATCTATCGACATAGTAGACACTATTGCACTTATAAAGCATTTTAAAAACACAATTTCTTCTGGCTCAGACGGTAAACCATTATGTGTAATCAACACATCTATAATGACTAATCAGTTCCCCACGGCTTGGAAATATGCAATCGTAGTTCCTTTTGTTGAGAGTTGAGAGGTGGACGAAGCCAGCAACTATCGCCCAATACCGCTACTTTATACATATACAATACTTGAAAAAAGCTGTAGGAAGGAAGCTGCTTAGCAATACCCAACATGGCTTTCGGAAGAATTTATCCACAGACACGGCCCTCATTCAAGTTTCTAAAGAATTATTCATGAATATTGATAACAAAAATTTCATTACTCTTAGTCTGTGATCTATCAAAGGCATTTGATAGTGTAAATCATGATTTCTTGTTACATAACTGTAAAAATCTCGTTATTTCTGAATGGTTCGATAGTTATCTGAAAGGGAGGACAAAATCAGTTCAATTAGGGAGACATCATTAAGGGAGACCTGAGATGAGATTCTGGTGCTCCT